CTGGTTTGCATCCATAGATGCTTCTCAAGCAAATCTCGGGACGTCATTCTCCCCCTGTACTCGGCCTTAGTGAGGCCACAGCTGGAGTACTGCTTCCAGTTTTGGGCTCCACAATTCAAAAAGGATGTGGAGAAGCTTGAGAGAGTCCAGAGAAGAGCCACGCGCATGATCAGAGGTCAGGGAAGCAGACCCTACGATGACAGGCTGAGAGCCCTGGGGCTCTTTAGCCTGGAAAAGCGCAGGCTCAGGGGTGATCTGGTGGCCACCTACAAGTTTATCAGGGGTGATCACCAGCATCTGGGGGAACGTTTGTTCACCAGAGCGCCCCAAGGGATGACGAGGTCGAATGGCCACAAACTACTTCAAGATCGTTTCAGGCTGGACATAAGGAAGAATTTCTTTACTGTCCGAGCCCCCAAGGTCTGGTACAGCCTGACACCAGAGGTGGTTCAAGCGCCTTCATTGAACACCTTCAAGAGCAAATTGGATGCTTATCTTGCTGGGATCCTATGACCCCAGCTGACTTCCTGCCCTTTGGGCAGGGGGCTGGACTCGATGATCTTCCGAGGTCCCTTCCAGCCCTGATGTCTACGAAATCTATGAAAGATACTCTCAGGTAGGACTGAATTAATTAATAAACAGCTGAGCCCTGCTAGGAGTGAACCACGTCTCTGACCCCTGTGGTTGTGGCCCTAGCACAGCAGGTTGACCCCTCTATGCAGCAAGCTGTTCAAAGCACTGCTTGCCTCTGGCTGACAAGTGGATGACAACTGCTCCTTCACAGTTTGATGCCCTGCTACTCTTCCCTTAGCAGCCACTTCCCCACAGCTGCAGCCACTCAACAGGGCTGGCTAGCCCCTTAAAGGGACAAGCTACCCTGTTACACTTTGTCACATCTATGGAATGCACCATTTCCAGGGACTGGACTACAAAACCAGCCAAACCACTGTGGTACTGGTGCTGGGTAGCGAGGCCTCCCTGGTATCCCATGGCTTCAGTTCCAAGCAGCCCTCAGTGCAGCTGCAGTGTCACCACTACCATCCCTTCCCGTACTGGATCCTGGCTTTTTGCTGTGTAGAGCGGTACCACGACCTCCCCGCAGATTTGGTAGTATTAGTGCTCTCTGGAGGAGAGCCATGGGCACACAAGAACCCAAATGAGCCCTTATCCTGACAAGGAGATACACCTGGACAGACTCTCTTTCCTGTCTTCTTTCCCAGGGAGGCCACTAGATCTGATCGGGCTCTGACTTTGTCCTTACCACCACCGGAAGACACTCTCCTTTTTTGAACAGTCCATACCCACCAGTGGTTTGTTTGATCCTGACTCTGAGAATTCAGTCAAACACAAACACAAGCCATTGGACTGATACCTGAGGGAATTTAGTGGTTCAGAAGAGATCAGACTAGAGGACCACGTTATCCCTTCTGGCCTTGGAACATAAGCATCAATGACTTTGGCAGTGTATCAGCAATATATTATTATATGGAAATCACCTACATGAGACAGCAAGAAATCTTACCTTCTCCAATGTCTTCTTTCTTTAGAGCACCTGCAATCTGAACTTGAGAAAGAGAGAGGTAAGCCTTGGAGACAGCTCCCATCACCCACAACCCTTTGAATTTGTCCCTAAAATCTCACATCTTCCCCCTTTTATTGCTCTGGGATTTCTGTGCTACAAGACACAGCATGGGAAGATAAGTGTGTCAGGTGGACAGGGAAAGATTTGGTCCCTTCTCGCTAGTTCAGAAGAGGTTTGCTTCTGCTTCCTGTCTCCACTGAGACCCAGGCCCTGGGCTGGGACACTCCAAGCTAGTTCAGTTGGCCTCTGAGCTATTTGCCTTGGGTGCTGTCCAGCAGAAGCAAGTGGGTGGTGACTGTTTTTGTCAGCAGTGGCCCCTGGGTCAGCAAAAAGCAGTATATCCATGCTCAGAGGAGCTCAGTCGTCCTGACATTCCCTAGCATGTTCAGGCACAAACCAGAAGAGCTGCCAGTCTCCCCACACTGGGCTCCCAAACTAGGACCAAGGGGCTACTTATTCAGCCTTTTTCCCCAAATTCTTAGTGCCCGGTCCCTGCCCCCAAGCTGCCTGGCACATAACAGTGGAAGTAGAGGAAACTGCTCTTTCATCAACAAAACTCTGTATAATGGGGAGATGGCATCATGGTCCCTTCAGGGCACACTCCCTGAGACGGCAGCTGCTGTAGGGCTGACGGACACCTTCTCTCTCTCTTTGCAGTGCAATCCTTGGCTGATCTCGGTAAGTGCCACGTCTGCCCCACTCCACAGAGCTGCACCCTGCTCCGACAGTAGGAGCTCAGGGGAGTTCTCATGTTTCCATGTGTTTGATTTCAGGCTGGAGTAAAGTCAAAGAAAATGCAGGTAAGTGGAGCTCTTTGGTTTATCAAGGCCCCTCCCCTGCTGACCTGTCCCCCCACTCCTCTGCCCCAGTGAAAAGGAGAGAGGACCAGGTCCCTGGGCTGGGGCGGCAGTGATCAAACCATGCCCCAGGCAGGGCAGGGCAGGGCAGGGTGTGAAATGATCTTGGCCTGGCCCAGGCCAGGGTCTGGCACCAGCACTCTCATTCTCTCCCTGCCTCTACAGCACATGTGACTTTGGATGCGGACACAGCTCACCCCAGCCTCTGCGTAGCACAGGGGCGGCGACACGTGCGATGGAGTGGGCACCGGCAGGACCTGCCTGACAATCCCGAGAGATTTGACAGTGAAACCTGTGTGCTGGGCTCAGAG